AAGCCAGTGTGCTTGGCTGTATCTGCCACTCGCATTCTTGTGTAAGAAACCTTGGCTATTTGCAAGCGTATCCAAAGGTGACGTCCGATGTTTAGATAGATTTTGGCGTAAGATGGAGAAAAAGAGAAATAGGCCTTATTTTGAAGGTAGCACACAAAATTCCAGCAAAAATGGCTTAATTCACTGAGACCAAGGCATATATTAACAAAATACACAAAAAACCCGAAAGGTTTACATAAATTACACATCTGTTATGGAGACAGGTCCAATTTGAGCTTCTGGATTTCCGTTTCCTTGCACGTGAGTTAGCGTGCTAGGAACAGCAGGACGTATCGATGATATGCCAGAAACTGGGTAGAAGGTAACGAGGTTAGGCCTGCTGAGTGCTGTTATTTTTTTCTGTTCAGCTTGAAATATTCTAGCTAACACTTACTTTGAGAGGCCTCCTCGTTCAAAAAAATCCCCTTTTACGCTAATCAGAATACGACGGTATCCAGCCTTGCCAGATGTGCTACAGGTTGTTTAGAGTGGTTAACCTTGTTCTGTTGGGTAAGGTTGGAGTATATCACATATGAAGTCAAACTCCAACGCCCTGCCAAGAACAACTACTGACTTCGCTTGGAATGACGTAAGCCTGTGGTCACTCGAATTGTGATAATTGGTAGTAGATTTTGAACAAGCATGAGTGAAAGAGAGAGTTTGGCATATTCTTTATAATAAATATGCCAAAACGCCGGAACCCATCACATGATTGTTATGAAAATGTGACTGAACCCCTTACAGGTACTCTAAAACTAAGAAAAATAACTGCTATCATTTAATGAAAGTATATTCTTGTTTTCGAGTGAAAACCTTTCAAACTATCTAGATGGATCGGTCTAGAGGAAAGCCGCTACTTAAGTAGAGGGGACCTGCTATCCCTTGCTGGCTGGCTGACCAACGACGGCTAGTTAGCTGGAAGTTACCATTCCAGTCCCCCTCTGCTTTGTCGGTACTCGTTTCTGTACATTTTACTGGTCGCCAAGCGACTGCCTGCAAGAGCTCTGGACTGAGCCCCACGACGCAAAGGGACGAACACGCCCCAGACTCTGGCAGGTGAATGCACTTGCAGTGATAGCATTACCTAGTTGTTGTAGAAAGAAGGAATAAGAAATTAATTTCATATAATCTTAGGAGCTTGAAACGCCGTTACTTTTCAAATATTTTACCACAGTGCATTTAGCAGCATATACATGTATACGTATGCCATAAAGTTATTGGAAACCATGTAAAAAATATTGAAGTTGCATCTGCGCGCACGTCTGTGTACCAGGTCGCTTAATGAAACCAGTTCGTCTTCAGAAGTTAAGAACTTTAACTTGACAGCGTTCGCATAGCTTCTAAAACATATACAAATATGAATGAATGGGTATCGCTGGTCTGGTAGAGGAACAATTAAGTCCCGCTTCAACCTGGAGCTCACAATTAGAGCCCACGCAGGCAGTCACATAGCGACTATGCGGATAGGATGGAGTGGATCCGCAAAAGCAAAGAGAGATCGGAATAGCCATTTCTAGCTTGTTTCTAGCCTATCCTGCCTTATATATTTACAGAAAGGAGCTCTCGAGAGGTTACTTAACGGTAGAAATAGCTCACTTTCTAATTATGCTTGAAATAAATAAATTGAGGCGTTATAGAATGTACCGGCAGGGATATAAATGTAGACCTAATACACTTTGATTGGCCACTTTTCTTACCTACGCCGCCTTGCAAGCCAAACAGCACCAGGCTAATTGCAATGACTGTTACCCTAGTCGTGCTGGCAACCGACACATGTATGGGCTACTACAGATTCATCTAGTTATTTAATCAACTTTTTAATTTAAAAATGTAATCAATGCTCGATGAACTTATTAGATAAAGCAAACTGTGAGTTAACATTAAGCAAATAGTCCATGCACCTCACTACCTACCCATCCATCACTTTCGTCTGCATACACCAATTCTGCCTATCCAGAAAGTGAAGACTGGAATGGCCATTTCTGGTTCATTAGCCGTCATCAGCCAACCAGTCACGTAATACCTCTCTACTATTGTTACTAGCGTCGAGCAAAACCGAAAAGGTAGCGAGTTTGTTACGCAGTGGGTCAAAGGGTTGGACTTCTAACCAATAGGTCGCGGGTTCGAGCCTCGGGGGTTGCGCCACCTGGAGTTGGATGTGGCTGACTGATAATGGCTAATAAACTAGAAAGGGCCATTTCAGTTCCCTTGTGTTTGTCGGTAATTTTTGCTAATTGTTTGGGCTCGAGAGTGAGTTCCAAGACACGCAACGGGGTGAGTGAGCTCCTCAACCGACCGGTCAGCTCTCATCTACCGTTACTAATTATCTCTTCTTTCTTGACTATTACTTTCCTTAAGTTATTAGAGTATGCTCTTTTGGAAGAAAACTTAATCCCCCTCCATGGGAATGCTTTTAGGACAAGGAAGAGTCAATCAACTGGGTGGCGTCTTCATAAATGGTCGCCCCCTGCCCTACAGGACGCGGTTACGCATTGTCCAAATGTCACGGAATGGCGTCCGACCCTGTGATATATCGCGCCAGCTCAAGGTCTCACACGGCTGTGTCAGCAAAATTCTACAGAGGTTTCATGAGACTGGTGAGCTGCTTTTCTCTAACCTTCTTTCCTCCGCCCGTGCCACAACGACCTTATTTTAATGCAAATGCCTCTGAGCAGGGACATTTCATGGACAATACCTTTAAAACCGGTGTGTTTGATAAGGCCTGAGTTGAGCGTACAGTATCCAAAGTATGCAACTTTCTGGTGAACTTATCTGTAGATACGAGGGGCAATGATATTATAATTTCTGGTCTATTCGATGTCACGAATTCCACATAGGCTGACCTAGAGATCTGTGATTTGCGCCGGAGCTAGTGTTGTCACTGACCCCCAACACGTTGTCTGTCAATTCACAAATTAATCTTTCGTCGTTGGTGGTGGTGGTGGTGGTGGTGGTCGGGAACTCGCAAAGTGAAAGACCACAGAAATGACTTTATGACATAACGGAATATGTGGGATCTGTTTTCAATTGCAGGCCAGGTTTGCGGGATTCCCTTGGCTTGCGTGACTACGGGCTCCCTATCGGAAGACCGATGAACAGTTGTTGAGGAAACTTTCTGTGACAGTCTCAGTCATTCGAGGAAATATTGCGCGCTCAGGAAACAGCTAGCCCCTTGGTTGTGTTATAACAGACTCGTAGGAGATTTCTTCATGTTTCATATACCTTAACTATGCTGTCCAACCTCCGCCCTTATTTGGCATCATTCCAAGTGTTTAGAAGCTTGGAGTGTTGAGCAAACTGCGTGGTCAACAAAGTCTTTCGCTAGGCACCTTAGCGTAGCACAGAGAACTGCCAGAAAACGTGCGGTTTCAACAGCCGATGACCATACCTCCAGTGTGGAAAAACGCTGCCAGCACTTCTGCCAGCGGCAGGTGTGGTCTTAAGTGAATGAGAGACCGGTCTTTGAGCCATAGACACTGCGTATTGAGCCATCACCCAGCGCCGCGAGATAACGCCATTTATCATCGGCCCTCCTCCGCATCCTGCGGGATACAGTTTATTGCTCTGTGTGCGCGCATGTGTGTGTGGTCGTATCCAGGACCGCACTCGGCGCAACTGGCATTGGATCAACCGATTAAGCTGTCATTTGAGTGAGCCACGTGGATTATTGATGCAGCCGTCTCGGTAATTGGGGGTAGGCGCGGACGGATGGAATTCGTTTCACTCTTTTCTGGACATTAGGGTGGGGGGGGAGCGCTTCCCGGCAAGTCAGGAAGCCGCTGTCCACTGCCGAGGCGAAACAATGTCCGGACCACCCCCCTCCTCCCCCCAACGTGCCATGAGCGTGTGTCGCTCGCTTATGTGTCCGTTAAAACCTGCTCAATATACGGGAAGCGATTCGGCAATTTGAGGGGAGTCGCACACACTTATCTCACTCG